GCAGCCTGTCCTCCTTCAACAGGCAATTATTTCACTCCCTGTACATTCCTTCTCTGGGTGGGCTGAACAATACATGGCTTCTTTTGGCTGGGCTAGAGAAGAAGCTCCCCCCCTCCTCTACTCCCTGTGCGGAAAAGGATATTTTCAGCCAGAGAGTGAAAGAGCTGCCTGCCAGATTGATTTGGACCCATTTGGGTTGCTCTCTTATGATTTTTCCCTAGATGCTTTTTTTGGCTTCAACAATAGCCAGGGTAATAGAACAGAGGACTGAAAATACAGAAATACAAAATTACCTCAGTTGAACATCATGGTTTGACTGAGGTAATTTTGTATTTCTGTATCTGAACCTGACATAAAGAAATATAATTGCAAAAAATTGAGGAATCAGCACATGGAAATTCTGTTAAAAGTTTGTGTAAAAATAAACGGAGAGAGAAGAAAAATGACATTGTCCAAGGAGATTATTATGGACTATTTGAGCAGACAAAAAATGCATATCAAGCCTTGTGTCAGATGATAGGGATAATGGAAGATTTCAATTATTCAATTATCCAAATATCCACTAGGAATCTTACTCTGTCAAGCTGTACCCTTAACAAATGCATGTCCTTTCTTGCTGATAACATTTTATGGAAGATGGTGGAAGAAAGAGCAGGGTGATCTGCTTTCCTAAATCTAATTCTCATCAATTTAAGAAAAATCAAAGTGATTTGTACCTTGAGGAATAACAATCATATTATCATTGAATTCAATATATAAGCTATGAGCTATCATGAATATTTTGTACACCAAGAAAAAAAATAGAGAAACTATGACTTGGATCTCTCTAAAATGCTGAAAAGAAAAAGGGGAGATGGATAGGAAATGAAACATAACCAATGAAGAATACAAAGATTATGAAGTCTTCATAAATTGGTAGGAATAGTATTAAAAAGCTAAAATTGAACTGAAATTTATATGATAAAAGAATGACCCTTTGGGTACATGAGAGACAAAAAGAGAATGCCAGAAGCTGTAGGGCGAGAAGAAAGTGATGAACTGGTAATGGCTGATGATGGGAAGATACTACTTCTTAAGTGCTCTTTTGCATTCTTCTCTCAAAATGGAAACAGAACCTAGTTAGCAATTGTTATGCCATTGGAAGAAGATGGGGCCTGAAGTTTACTAAACAAGGAAGGGTTAAGAGAGATCTTAGCTAATTTCAATGAAGAAACTAGCAGAAATGAGAACGGCACTGCTGTCTATAATCTTTGAGAACTTCTGGAAGATTGGTGAGGTGCCAAGGCACTGGAAGTGAACATATTCTATCTCCATCTTCAAAAATTGTGGGGCTGGGGAAAACCCATAAATATAGATTTGTCAAGGATTATTGACAGGTAATAAATTTCCAATAGATTATTAAACAGCATGTTACAGTTAAGAGGAGCTAGCAAAGGTTTAGTTTCTAATGAATTGTATCAGATGAACATTATTTCCTTCAACATAATTATTATTTTAGTAGATTATGTGAATACTATGCACATATTTTATATGGATCTCAGCAAAGCTTTGATTTTCTAATAATCTATATTGTAATGATCTATATTGCTGTTCTCAGCAATTACATGATAAGGAAGATGAATAAATCTCCTTTAGAATATTAGCCACCCATTGTCATTTTGTGTGATCTGCAAAAGTACAAGGAAATAGATCTGTCTAGATATCAGAAGGACCTTCCTGACTGTGCAAGCTGTCAGTCAGGCTATGACAAGAAGGGGTTAGTTCTACTTTGCTGGCACTCCTCAAGTAAAAGTTGAATAGTCATTTGTCAGAGTTGCGCTAGTGGATCTTACATAGTGCATGGATTTCAGGAGATGGCTTCTAACCTTCTTCCCAATTCTATAAATGTATGTGTTATTAAAATTAAAAGATAATTTCACACTGTGTCTATAATTAAATTAAACTAATGAAATTCTGACAGTTACCAAACAATATTGTAGTCTAAAACATAAATATAATGGATTCATTGGGTAGAGATAATGTTCTAGCTATATTCCCCAAAATATAGTCTAGTCAAACAGTGATGTTTGCTTTGATTGAAGATATGTATAAAAAGATGTGCGATTATATTTACCAAACTGATTTGTTCTAATATATAATCCATATTTGCTCTGGTATATATAGCAAAGTTTGCCTGCAAAAAACCTAGCACTGCCCTGTTCAAGGCTCTTTACCTCAAAACTGGAAGAATGGCTAAAATATACAAGAAAGTTCCCAAGATACCTTTCATCCTTATTTGAAAAAACTAAACTTGTATTAATCCACTAGAGCAGTGGTGGCGAACCTATGGCACGCGTGCCAGAGGCGGCACTCAGAGCCCTCTCTGTGGGCACGTGCACCATGCCCCAGAGATGGGAACCATCCCTCTTCAACCAGCCGCCTGCTACCTGGCCGAGGTCCCACATGGCCAGATGCATCCCAGCACCCATGTGCTCACTGGCCTCTGTTGCAGGGACCGATGGTGTCAGGCAGCAGCCACCCCGGCCCCTGCCTCACCTTTTCCTGTGACAATGGCACTCCTGCCTTGCCTCGCCTCACCCCACAGGACGAGCCTCCTGCCCACTGCCCCACCTGCCAGAGACCTCCTGGATCTCCCCCAACCCTGCCTGGCCCCCACAGATGTCCCTCCCCACAAGTAACATGGAGGTGATCACACCCACATTGGCCACATCCACCCAATCTGCCATGACCACCACAGCCACACACATCCAGTGGGCCACGCCCATCTGGCACCTGGCGATAAATAAGTGGGTTTTGGGTTGCAGTTTGGACACTCGATCTCTAAAAGGTTCGCCATCACTGCACTAGAGTAAAAACTTGTAAAATGATGATGGCAACTTTATGGTGGCAATTTTATGGTGCTCCACTGCAGTAGACAATTACACAAAATCATCTCTATGGAGTTCAACAAAAAATATACAAATAGCAAATGTTCCCACCCTGTCAAACAGCCTCCTTCATTTCTATCAGAGTGGAGAAGGAGATTTTTCTCCAACAGAACAGACTTTCTGTCAACCTGCTAAATATTTATTTCACAGGCTTCAAGAAGGAAAGAGCATCCATAGCAGACTACAAAAATACATCCAGAATTCAAATTGTTGCATTGCTTATAATCAGATACTGAAACAAACAAAACAGATGGAAATGGAAATGGCAATTCAAAATGAGATTTGTATCTCTTTATGCAATGTTTTCTATCATCCTTCATTTTGAAACATATATAAATAGATCAGATATTATTATATATTATCCTTCAATCTATGATTTTGTTTCTTGAGTAAGATTGTTACTTCTATACCGAAACTAGTCCATCAACCTTACTGACAAACCTGTAACACTGTACATATTTTATACAATTATTCCATCTGATAAACACTAACTTTATAGATGTTAAACAACACAGAATAACAAAATCTGTTAAAATTAGTGGTTAAAAATATTCCTTTTTAAAAAAAATTCTTGTAGAAACAGCCATGTAGTGCACTAGCAAAGGACAACTAAAACCTCTGTTGATAGTCAAATTATCAAACTTAAAATATTTACAACACACAATAAAGGTTTTATAGCATTTATTTGGGCACACCTGGTTAGGATTATTTGGATGTGAATAAGAAGCAATTTATATTGACTGCAAGGCAGTGGATTATTTTGTTAAGCGATAGGGGGAATTTTTAACATGTTAAATGCTGTCAAACTGAATTCCTTCAAGAGCGAGATTCAGATGTTTATGAACAATAGGCAATTAAGAACAATGAAGCAAGAAGACTTGCTTTATCATAAATTAATGTCAAAAATGCAATAAAATGAAAAAGTGCAAACAATGGGAATCAAACTGATTGTCACTCCCTTCTGAATACACAAGTAACAATCACATACATTTGACAAAATGAAATGTGGAGGCAATCTTCAATTGGCCATGAAATTTCAGAATGACTTTAAGACCTGATGGACAGCAAAATGTTAATAGCTTCCATTTGGAGATTCATAATAAATTAGTTGACTTTTATTCCTTTCTACTCCAACCCTATACATACACTCTTCTTTAAATGTTACTTGATTTTAAAACCATTTCCAACATTCTAACATATGTTCTTATGGCATCATAAATTATGTTATATTTGAATAGACCAGGGCTTTTCAACTAGTGGTACGGGTACCACCTGTGGTACATTGGCCCCTGGCAGGTGGTAGGCAACCATCCTAGAAAAGTGGTAGCAGGGGAAGGGAATGAGCTGAACCGGTGGCAGCACTGCACAAGCCTAAGCGAGAGATGGCTGGAGTTGCAGGGCTGTCAGGGCTCAGTGGAAGTGCCAGGCTCAGCGCCAGGCTCCAGCTGGAAAGCAGCACTGATCCTGGTGCTTCTGCTGAGCTCAGAAGAAGCGCCGATCAGCTGGAATGTTGCAGCATCTCCAGGGTCTTGTGATTTACATTAGATGCTTGGCAACTGATTCATATTTATGACGGTCACAGTGTCCCAGGGTCATGTGAAGTGACCAAAACCTGCTGCAACCACCCAGTAGACAGGAATAAAAACCAAACACCCCCCCACCCCACCCCCGCTGGCAATCCTCAACAGAAATGCTCACAACAATGAAAACCTCGGACAGGAGGAAGACCGCCACCGGGCAGGCAGGCAGGTGTCTTGCTCGGCTGTGGCTTGGGGGGCACTTTTTTTAGCGCCATTGTAACTTCAAACAGTCACTAAGGGAACTGTTGTAAGTCGAGGACTACCTGTACTTTATCACTTTTTTCCTTTTTTTTTTTTTGGGTTATCAAGTTTTTGACACCTTGCTAGGCGACTGGTGGTACTCGGATGTTGCCATATCCTAAAAGTGGTACAATGGGTGAAAAGGTTGAAAAGCCCTGGAATAGACTATACCTGCTTCAAACTCACTGCCAGTGATTGCATGGATTGCCATAAGGATTAATGTCAGTACCTTCTTACTTTCTTGCATTCATAGAGAGAGGCAAAGAAGAAAATAGACCTGACGTCATTTTTATGAAGGAAAAATTTCAGCCTTTCATATAAAATATGATGGTCCCAATACACTGCTAAGGTATTGTCGTTCTCTGTCACTCCCTGTCTCTCTCTCTCACACACACTTTCTTTTCTTCAAGCAGTCTCCAATGAGTCCCATAGTTTGAACAATTTTGATCCCAATAAGTTCTGTTTATGCAATACTTGTTGTATATAAACATTGTTTTGCTATTATATAAACACTAGGCATACAAACTATTTTATTTTCCAAGTGCCCGAAACATAGCAGACCATCTGGTATTCAGTAATTCTCATACAGGTTCCAAAGTATCTTTTATAGAAATATACTGTACACAAGAACAACGTTGCTGGTCAGAAAATGTCATAAATGTCTAAATGCAGACAAAATGGAGAAAAAATACTGTGCCCGCTAAAAACACTATGTGGGCAAACCTCTGCTGACAAATATTTATGTGATTTATCTCCACCTCAGTTTAAAAGGATTTCTGATGCATGCAGAAAGCCAAGATTAGCTCTGCTTATCCATATATACACTCAAATTCTGTGTTTACAGCTAAAGCAGCTTTATAAAAATCACTCCATGAAGTATCACGATGAAACTAAGTTGAGGAGAGGTTTGATGACTTGTACAAACAGTAGAAAATCCCTGCACATCATCCAAATAAACTCCACATATTAGTATTTCTTTTTTCCTGGTTAAATAGTTCTAGGAACAGAATGATGCAATAGTGTTCTTTTCTCTGTTTATAATGATACGGTTTCTTAATTTATTTAACTTTCATGTGACTGGAAAACATTGCTAAGTGCAGAGAAGAGCCACAAAGATGATTAGACTAAAATGTATGATGAATGGTTGCAGAACTGGGTATGGCTAGTCTAGTGAAAAGGAGAGAGATGATAGCAGTGTTCCAATATTTGAGGAACTGCCCAAAGAAGAAGAGGGGATCAACCTATTCTCCAAAACACCCAAAGGCAAGACAAGAAACTACAGATGGAAACTAATCAAAGAGAGAAGCAACCTAGAACTAAGGAAGAATGTCCTGACAGTGAGAACAATCAACCAGTGAAACAGCTTGCCTTCAGAAATTATGGATCACTGGAGGCTTTTGAGAATTCTTATTTGTTTGGTGATTTGAGTAAACCACCAGCATAGAGTTCAACTATAGTTGTTGAAACCTTGATCTTTTTCTAGGAAGGATTAAAGGAAGAGGAATAAGACACAGTTGGATAGCTAAAACAAAATAGGAAGCATTCATATAGAAGAATGCAAACTATATTAACAATTAGAAATATGGTCATTATTGGGGAAAAAATAATATTAACATTACTTGAAATCAAGTATTCCAGACAAATCAAAGCCACTCATTTGAGGAGCTTGGTTTGCGTTTATTTATAAGATATGGAAAGAAAGCATAAAATAATGGCAGTAGAGAAGATAACTGTAACATGTTTCTTAACAAAGATGCCATCATCTCCATCTGTTTATTTCCTGTCCAGTTATAGATAAGATAGTTATACTGAATTATTTGCTCACTGAAAATATATTTTCATTTCTATATTTTACAGAAATTAAAATTTGCACAATCCATCAGTTCCCACCAACATGACTTCTGAAAAGCATTTGATGTGCAAATCAACAATAATAATGGGGTCTAATAGATCATATCTGAACCTTACAGGTAATTGGTTTGTTTTTTTTAGAAAAAAGAGAAAAGGACGTCAATAGCTTTTAAATGGTTTCCTCTGCTTTTTCAGCATAATTTTGCAAGATTCACATAACATTTAGCAAGCAAATGTTATGATTATTTCATTCCTTTTCAATACTGTTAGTCATGATTCCTGGCAATTGCCCGGATGAGTCCCTACTACTTTCTTGGCAAGATTTTTGGAAGTGATTTGCCATTGCCTGCTTCATAGGGCTGAAAGAGAGTGACTGTCTGAAGGTCTCCCAGCTGGCTTCATGCCTAAGCTGAGACTAGAACTCACAGTCTCCCATTTTTTTGCTTGAAGCCTTAACCACTACACCAAATTGGCTTCAGTGTCATAATGAGTACATTTTCTAATCTTCATATAACATTTAGGAAAAATTGCCAAAATTTTGAATAATCTGTATTCTTGGTGAAGTCATACAAAATAGTGTGAATGATACAAAGAAAGCAAATACTTTCAAAGAAAACTATTGACACTATAGCCAATTTATTTATTGTTTTATATGTGAATTATATTTGATTAAGCTGTAAAGTTGTTCAATTAGGTAAGCGTATGTTTTCCCACAAAATTACACCTCTGCTATACACCAAACAATGCAATTTCATGAAGCTCCTGAGAAACATTTAGCTTCTTGTGAATCCCAATTTCATTAAGTATTAAAAGAAAGCATCAGAAAATAATTTGTTTTGAAAGAGGCAAAGTGCCTTTTCCTTCCTGTAGCCATTATTTTTATATTAAATTTTAGAAGTTTAAAACAGCCAAAAATATATTGGAGAAAAGATGTGCTAAGTGCTTAAGCCTCAGTTTATTTCATGCTATCATTTGAAATGCTGATACCATTAATATTAGTTTAAAATTAAATATTCAATAAAATAATCAATATTAGTTTTAGCCCAGGAACATAATATTATTTCAATCATGAGATGAACATGACAGAAGAAGCCCTATTTTGGAAATTAGGAAGAAAAAAATCCAAAATCCTTAAGGCAATAACTTTATTATGCTAATGCCAACTTAGATTTCTTAGACACAGTCCAAACATCAGCTATATTTCCTTTTCTGTATTCTCTTTATAATATTTCATAAATTTACTTCCTGCTCTAATGAATTGAAAGTTTGCAACAATTATGCAAAATTTTAATTGGCCTAATAAAGTTACTTCAATTATAGTTCATATTATTATTAAAATTGTTAATTGTCCTAATAATTACATTATTTAGTTTAAAAAAGTCCCCACAAACCTTTTCCAATCTAAAACTGCTCTCTGTGTTCCTGCCTTAAAAGCATGTATAAAGCTATTCTATGAGTTATTCCATCTTTCTCATTTATTTTATTAATCTTTAAAAGTGTTCCTCCTAGCAACTGGTTGAAGATCTTCCTCAAGAATTTCCCATAAACTATTCCTTCTTTTTTATGCATTCTTCTAACAGTGTAAACTATGTTTAATATTAACTAGAGTACATGTTGTACAATATTTGTAATCAGCTACAAAAATGCAGCCTAATTCAGTATAGTTGATCCATGCTTTTATGACCTTTGCATTTAAAAAAGCAACGACACTGGCATAAATTTAGAACTAGACTTCAATTACCTCTCCAGTCCTATATAACTATTTTTCCTTTATTCAGTAGTTCACACATATGTATCTTACTGGACAGTCTCATATTTTAGCCGTGGAATATTCAAAAAAAGGTTTCAAAGTTTTCTTAGCGAGCTTGTCCAAATGCTGAACACAACAAATGTCTTCAGGAGTTAATTTTTCCTCTTTGTGTCCCTGTCTTAAGTCTTCAGAGACTAAACTAAACAAGCCCTTGCATGCAGCAGGAACTTAGTCATCTGCATCATTAAACATATTCATTATTTAAAACAATGTACTCCCTGACACCTCATTGCTGTAACTTTGGTCTAAAGCTTTTTTATATAAAATACTAACACAGTAGAGTATAATAATTTTCTTGAAATACCAGTTTTGTTGCTGAAAGGCAGCTTTAGAGGAAAAAATTTCCCAAATGGATTATTAGATGTCAAACTTTATATGATCCACTGCAGAAAAAGCTTGACTTAAAATCCATCATGTCTAGTTCCCTGTTTCTTATAGTGGTCAACCAGAAGCTTCTAAAAAACTCTCAAGAATGTGTTAAAGCAGCAATAGTTTTCTGTGTTGTTCTTCAGTGATTATATTCAGTTGAATATGGAAACACTCAAACTCAGTTATCATGCCCAATAGCATTATTCCTAGACACTTGATGGACCATAAAATAATCTTTGAGAACCTCAAGTCCAACAAGCAGCTCAGGGCTCATTTCTGGCAACTTGGGCATTTTTGAAAGCTTACCATATTTTTTACTACCCTTATCCTTGGCTTAAATATTTCCTACTAATTACGAGACAACATTCCCCAAGAAAGTCCATTCCACTGCTGCACAATTCTTCTATTCCACAGTTCCTTCTAATGCTGAATTTTGCCTTTTTATAATTTTCATCCACTAATTCTAATGCTGCATTCTCAGGCAATTTCTCAATTACACGTTCAGAATTACTTTCAAGTATTTACAGGACGTTGTGTGAATGCATGTAGTAGTACATTAATAGGCAGTCATGATCAAATGCTCTTTACTATTATCCACTGCATGATCAATTCATATGTGTAAAGACTTACTTTAAAAGGGTGCTACTTTATTGAAACTCCCAGTTTCCCATCCTCGCCATAAAACCAAAATGACATGATGTTAAAGCACTAATTCTAATGGCTTGGTAGATTATAGACGATCTCTCCAATCATAATAAAATAATACAATATGAAGATTAGTTTCAAGAACAGTTATATATGTAAACCTGGTAGAAAACTGGTCAGTTCTTATATCAGCATATGTGCCAGTCCTTCTATACTGAATAGATGCTAGGAAAGAGATTTATTTATTTTTATTTCTGAGAGGTTGCCTAGAAAGTACTTCTTAAAGACTCTTGGGTTGAGCAAAGAGGGGAACCTCAACATAAGACTGAGTTGTCACAATGAAGGAAAGTGACACACATCACACTGCAAATTCTTATGATTTATGACTCCTGGGGCTGTGAACTAAAATCAAAAGAGAAATGAGTCAGTCTTTTCTGCCCATCATGCAGAGCCAGCTTCAATATGATTATGATTTCTGTTAATACTTACCTGAGAACATCGTTGAAATAGATACAACTTTTAACCAACCTTTTTAACCATCATTTCTATAGATCATCAATCTCCGAGTCAAGACATCAATCTTTTGACCAATTATTCACAAGACCTAATTGGGAATGCTACCAATAATGAATTTACAACTATTGTTTTACCTATGCTTTACCTCCTTATATTCTTGGCAAGCATCTTTCTGAATAGCTTGGCAGTATGGATTTTCTTCCACATCAGAAGCAAGACCAGCTTTATTTTATACCTCAAAAACATTGTAGTCGCAGACTTGCTGATGACTCTGACATTTCCATTTAAAATTATTCAAGATTCAAGACTGGGGCCATGGTACTTCCATTTTTTCCTATGCCGGTATACAATAGTTTTGTTTTATGCCAGCATGTATACAACAATTATTTTTCTTGGACTTATTAGCCTTGATCGCTATCTAAAAGTGGTAAAACCATTTGGAGATTCCAGGATGTATAGCATTACATTCACTAAGATTCTGTCGCTTGTGGTTTGGATTGTTATGGCATTTTTAGCTTTGCCAGATCTGATCCTCACTAATAGTTACCCAACTAGGATAAATATGGGTGACTGCTTAAAACTGAAAACCCCATTGGGAGTCAAATGGCACAATGCTGTCATTTACTTCAATAATTGCATATTTGTCATTGTGATGATTGTATTAATAGGTTGTTATATTGAAATATCCAAATATATCTATAAATCCAGCAAGCAGTTTATTAGCTCTTCAAGTCACAAGAGGAAACACAGTCAAAGCATAAAGGTGGTGGTGACTGTATTTTTTATTTGTTTTTTGCCATACCATCTATGCACAATCCTTTTCAATTTGTGCCAGTTAGATTATTATTTAGATGCTTCAGCTCACAAGATCCTGTACTACTGCAAGGAAGTGACTATTTTCCTATCAGCATGCAATGTCTGCCTAGATCCAATCATCTACTTTTTTATGTGTAGATCATTTTCACGGAGGCTTTTCAGAAAATCAAACATTCGGACAAGGAGTGAAAGCATCAGATCCTTTCAGAGTATCAGAAAGTCAGAGGTGCGCATTTATCATGAATATACTGATTTGTGACATCATTGCTAAACATTTTTTTTTAATTGTTATTTGTACCAATGTTTTCTATTTGTAAATAAAAGTGCTTTGCTTGTTATACAAATCTGAATATATCCAGTGCAACATATGATTAACATTTACATCCTTTCCATGATTTTCGGTTTGAAAAGGAGGTAGGCAGTCCACTATTACAAAATATATCTCCGCTTGACGATTGAGTATTTTTTACTTACATTAGGATGATTTAAAAAGATATATGGTGCCATCTAGTGGACAAAAGCAAGGTTGTGATACAATGCAAGGGCTGAGCGACTCAAACAATGCTATCTAAAGAGAGTTCAAAACTGTAGGCTAAATTGCTTTTCTTCCAGGCTACTCCCAACTGTTTCTAACGCCAACTTCAGAAATCCCAGTCTGATGAGCCATAAACATAAGGTCTGATTTGTTTTTTCCCTATTTCTTGCCCTTCCCATCCCTGCCTTGTTGATTGTTCCCTCCTAACCAGCCCTCATATTTTCCTTTGTTTTTCCCAGATATTCACACATATGGATGCCATTATTGCCCTTCCTGCCCTACCCTTCCCATATTATGTCTTTTGACAATAACCTTTCCTTTGTGGACTTATAAGTACCATTATTGCAGTGGTGCTACTGTACTCAATGCATTCAAGGACATGTTTTCCTTTTGCTTTTACTCATCTGAAAATCCATGAGAATTTTGTAGCAAAGAACATTGATTGTAACATTTCTACACTTCTAAACATCCTTAAGATATTTTAAAAATAAAAATAAAAGAACAGAGAAGCTTTGCAGGACTAAGGCTGGGGGCAGGAAATCAGGGGGTGCATACTTCATTCAGCATCGGTAGATATCAAAAGGGAGCTCACTGGGACAGGTAAGGATTGAATGGAGCATCCATTTCTGGGGTTGAGGATAGTTCATTGGCTTAACTGGCCACTGGTGGATCAACTGAGATTATGAAAAAATAGCATCTGTCAACCATCGGAGGCCATTGTAGCCAGAACAAAATGGCTGCACAGGACAATGACCCAACATTAGAGGGGAAGAAGCATGTAAGGTGTTTTGACCAATCAGAGCTAAGCTGTCAATAGATTGAAAGGAATCCCTGAAGACTATCTGTTTAGGCCAGAAAATAGCAGTTTTGAACCAGAAGCTGGAAAATATAGGTGTGACTTTGTAGATTTGACCACATAGGCAGAATCGGCTATGGCAAGACAACACTGGATGAATCCCAGTGCTGCATCTTATTGGACTTTAAAGGTAATAATCAGCATTTTGAATTGGGGCTGAAAGCCTATCAGCACAATGACTTTAATACTGAAGATATTTTAATCTGGAATTATTGTCTCACCAGCAAATTAGCCAAACATTATCATAACTGTACACCTCTCCCTTACCAGAAAATAGATATCCATCTCTCCTCCACATTTACAGATACAGGTAGTCCTTGATTTATAACCATTTATTTAGCAACTATCAAACTTACAATGGGGTTGAAATAAGTGACTTATAACCATCCTTTCACTTATGACCATAGCAGCATTGCTATAGTCACATGATCAAAATTCGGTTACTTGGCAGCCAGCATGTATTTATGACGGTTGCAGTGTGCTGCAGTCATATAATTTCTATTTGTGACTTTCCCAGATGGCATCTGACAAGCACAGTCAATGGGAGAAATTGGATTTGCTTAACAACTGCAGTTTTTTTAAACAACCTTGGCCAAAAAAGGTCATAAAATCCAGCACAAACCACCTAACAACTGCCTTACTTAGCAATAGAAATTCTAGTCCCAATTTGGTTACAAGTTGAGAACTTCCTGTAATTAGAAAAATTAAGGAAAGCTGCTCCCAACAAATTATGGAGAAAAATATGATGCTAAAGTAAACATACTTAGTTGGCAAGATTCTATCATCCAACTTCTGTTTTCCTTTAAATAAATCTGGTTAATAACATTCTGTGATCTTCTAACTTTCATGGTGGCAGATGGTTGTTAAGGGTTTGACACAGAGCACTCTACTCATAGTTGTTCTGCGTGCTTGTATAAGGACATCAAAACTTTCCTGTGAATATCTTGGGAAATACCAGTGACATACAGGTAGTTCTCAATCTATAACCACAATTGGGACTAGAATTTCCATTGCTGGTAAGTGAGCCCACATCCTCTTCTACAATCTTTTTTGCCCTGATTGTTAACTGAATCACTGAAATTGTAAGTGAATCTTTAAGCAAATCCAGCTTCCCCCATTGACACTGCTTGTCATAAGCTGACTGGGATGGCAATCACATGACTCTGAAACATTGTAGTTGTTATAAATACATGCCAATTGCTAAATGCCCAAATTTTGATCACATAACCAAAGGAATACTGCAATGTGAGGGCTGGTTGCAAGTCACTTTTTTCAGTGCCATTGTAATTTCGAAAAGTTGTAAATGTTTTACAAATGGTTGTAAATAAAGGACCACCTCTACTGGATTGGTATTTTGAGACTGAAACTTTGCACATGGTTGATACCCAGTTATATTTCCTTGTTAACTTCTGGGAGGCTTTGTGGTATCTGAATTCAGCCACAGTTTTGTTCCATATAGCGTCAGTCTTGTAAACTCTCAAGTTTCGTCTTTCCGCTATGTATTCAGAATGGACAGTGATTAATATAGCATGTGTATATACGTTATGTATGGGTAGATATATACTTTGTTTTGAGAGCAGGCAGCATAATTTCATTTTTAATGTGGGCCAGTGTGTTCACAGTAAAAAAAATTGACAATAAATAATAATAATAATAGTAAAGTTGGAAGGGACCTTGAAGGTCATCTAGTCCAACCCCCTGCTCAGGCAGGAAACCCTATACCATTTTGGACAAATGGCTGTCCAGTCTCTTCTTAAAAACTTCCAGTGTTGGAGCATTCACCGCTTCTGGAGGCAGGTTGTTCCACTGGTTAATTGTTCTCACTGTCAGGAAGTTTCNAACTAGACATACCCAATTCCAGCAGCCGTTCCTTATATGCTTTAGCCTCCAGTCCCCTAATCATCTTTTTGCTCTTCTCTGTACTCTTTCTAAAGTCTCAACATCTTTTTTACATCGCGGTGACCAAAACTGGATGCAGTATTCCAAGTGTGGCCTTACCAAGGCATTGTAAAGTGGTATTAACACTTCACGTGATCTTCCTGATGGTAAGCCGTAATGGGACAAACTTTCTTCTTAATAAAAATGCTCAAGAACAGCTTATAACTGAAGTAAACATAGAATATGGGAAAGGAAATATAATAGGAATTATGCTGAGGGTAATACCAATGTTTAAGGAAATTTAAATATGCACAGAAAGAATTGTTCTAGCACCCAATGTTATTTCATTCTTATATATATGACTTCAGCAATTTAGTCTACTTCATATAAGCACCATTACTTCTTCTTTTTAAAAGTTCATGTGGAAGTAAAGCAGACATTGTGGTACGGGATGTTTCCCAATCTTAGAAGACAGAAGGTGAATCTAGTTGATGGTTCATTCAAGTGATATATTTCATGTCACCACTGTTGTTTGGAATTTATACTGTAGCAATTTCAGTGTGTTCAATAATATTAATATTGGGTCAGAGTGAAATAGTTATTCCTTATATAATTAACTTTAAATCAGAAAAAAGAGCACCAAAAAAACCCCTTCTTTCACATAATTACACCAGGAATTGCAACTATGGACTCTTCCTGTGCTGCTCTCAACAGGTGGCAATTTTCTATGAGATATGACTAATTTTATACAGCAGTCCCCACAAGGGTCTTTAACATTTTACTCATCATGACTTCATATATTTTCATTTTAAACAGTATTCATTTCTGTCTCAATATAAAAAGAAAAGAATTACAAAATATGTTTCTGGGTTAAAGAAAAAAGGAAACCACACTAATTAACATCTCATTTGTCTGCAGCCATTGCAAATCAGGGTATTTATCTTTTTGCAAAGCACCAGCATTGCTTCCATAAAAATAATGCAATTCTAGAAAACATTTCCTTCCATACAAGGCACATATCACTTTGAAAAAAGTCATCAAATCTTACCTCTTAAAAAAAGAAAACAAAAAAAAGTATGGTCAAATATTTTTTCTGCTTAATATGGAAGCAGAACACTTATTACCAAAGATGTGTAATTTTGGGATATTTCTAAAGTAAATAAATAAATGTGTAGTTTGTTGCTTAAGCCAATTTCTTGGGAACTGTTTAGTTTCTGAGAACTGGACATGGAAGAAAGGAGGAAATTAGAATTTTGAAAGAATTGCTATGACCAGTAGGGAACTTTTATGGTTTCAGCTTCATGCATTTCCTTTTTTGGGGGGTCATGTTTTTTAGATTTGTCACTCACAGTTTAATCAGCCTCTCGTGGCCAGCTGCAGCATCAGCTGGAAGCAGCAAACTCTACAACTCTGAGACTTTTAAACCAGTATGGGGAAGTACTGGGAACTTTATTTCAGGCTGGATTTGAAAGGGTATCATCACTTCTGAATCATATGAAAAACTACCAAAGTCTGTACTGGTAAGAAGTTACCATACACTTATTTGTTTGGGTTTTTTTAAATGCATTCTTATCAAAATGCTTAATGTCAAATCTTGCCATAGGATTATAATTCCAAACTGCAGACTAGAAAAAGATATTTGAAAAATAACAAATGAGTAAATGTATGCTGAATATGTCATCATATTACTGGTACTGTATGTTATTTTAAGAAATAGTTTTACAGATAAAAATAAAGAAAATATTTTGTTGTTCAATATTAGTTACATTGCATTAAATTGCATTAGTTACATTACATTGTATTAAATATAGTTTCTACTGAACTAATTACTCAGGTAGTTATAAAACTAGTTAACTTATATCATCTTTGTACCTCTGATACTTTAAAAAAAAGCTTTAAAAAGTTAAATCTGATTGCATTTGTATTAAAGATTGCTTCCATCTCAAATATATCAGTATAATTAGCTATATACTTATAGTTACTGGGATGGGATGAGAATTTAGTTTAAAAAAATAAGATTCTGGAGAAAAATTAAAATGGAAAACAAGTTGTATGTGCATCTGTGAAACCAGAAAGGCAAAAAGTACCATAATTAGAAGAAGAAGCCAAGTTAAAACTCTTTAAAAGACTTATTTAGGTCATTGGATTGGACGCTTAACAATGGTGTACTAAGCACATTTAGTGTGCTACTGAATAAATGACTTACCTCTTACTATGAATATTCAGTAATAATATAGCATTATTGAGCCCATGCTGGTTATTATTTTGTACAGAAATATTATACATTATACAAGTAACAGTATTTAACCTATATTTATTACTAAGTTATTTTTTATTATTAAAACAAAGTATAATTCATTCTTAGAGCCCCTTTTCTCTTTCTGTAAACTTTATACTTGGCAGAATAATGTTGAGTTTGTGACATCAGAGCAATCCAGTGATTTCAAAGCTCTGTACAGTAGAAATGAAAAAATCCATAATGAACTGGCTGTGCATTTTAGGGACAGGTTTGAACTGGATACTAGGATACATTACACTGCCGTATGGACAGTACTGGAGGCACAAACAGGTCTAAAATAATTGACCCTCTTATAGGCTTAGGCCACTCAGTATACACACACACACACGTATGTGTGTAGACAGACAGACAGACAGACAGACAGACAGACAGACAGACAGACAGATAGATAGATAGATAGATAGATAGATAGATAGATAGATAGATAGATGGCAGCCAGCTATTGCACTGTATGTAAAAAATATGCCTAGTGAACTCAGTGAGGCTACTGGGCTACAATTATGAAGTAATAAGGCAGGACTACAAAGATAATAGGCTTTTGGAAACAAAAGAGCAAAAAGAAGCAATACTTTATGAACATAGTGTTTTTTGGGGGGGGGGAGTAACTTTCTGTTGCTTTTCCTGCTCACTTTCTATTCCTGTTCCCTTGCTTCCCATTTCCTAACTTATGAGCTTTCCTTGGCCTTCAAAATATTTAATGGCTGAGCTAACAAGTTTAGTTTTCCTGGAAATACATTTTTGTAATATATTTTATGGCTCAATTGAACACCATGGATTCAGTAGTGCTTTGATTTCCCTGGGAAGATATATTTGGTTTACAGGCTTTTATCTGGGCCTACAATTCTACTTTGGATGTTAACAGTTGGTATAAATGCTACTCTGGTTTGCAAGCAGAGAAATAAACGAAATGGATCCAGATTTCTTCTTGGGCCATACTGTCCTAAGCTGTCACAAAAATTATTGTAGGTATTAATTTCCTCACATTGAAATCAACCAGTCTGAAAAGATCACAAGAAGTTCTTTGACATTAGTGTCTACAACCTCTCACCTTTCCTCTGATCTTAATTTGATTGAAGGAAATGGATCTATGTATGGAACTGTTGTCTTAGAGGCCATACAAATGCAGCATGAAATTTTGGAGTTGTTTCAAAGAGAGAACAGTTGATATATTTTCCACTGATTCCCATAAATATATGGGAATATATTACAGTATATATGTAATCCCGTGCAAGGTTTATTTCTGCAATCTCTTTGGCCTTCCCATGTCCAGAGTCAAGTTCAATTGAATAAATACCACATTTTTTTAGCTGTTCCTTCATTTATAAACCACCTCATTAAGTTTTCAGCTGTAAATGACAATCATAGAAATTTCCATATATGCAGAAATATTCCTCACAAAGCCATTTATGGATTTGGAAGAGAACAGATCCTGTTTAATAGTTGCAATCTTGTAACTTGTCAGTTAATGTGATTTAACTAAAGAAGGGAGATTTTTTTTAAAAAAAGAAAACTGAGTAACAGCAATAACATTCACTATACTTCTCTATATCTTTCTGTTCTCGCCTGTAATCTTCTATCACTTTCATATACTTCACATATTGTCTTTTATTTTTTAAATTTCTCATTTTTCTCTGAAAAACTTAATTCCAACCATCTATAGCTTACTTGTAATATAGTCCTCATTCATCCACTACATACTTCTTGGCATGTTCTTCAAGACAACCACTTTCATTTATTTCAAGAATCATTTATCCCTTACAAGAGATTGCATATTACTCACTGTCTTTCCTTCAGCATTTCTACATCTTAAAGTTTCCCCGCCTATTTTCCAATTTTAGCAAACTTTTACCAGGGTATGTAGGTTTATCTACTTTTTCAACACTTACATGTAATTTGGATTCAATAACTGCATTTCTGTCACCTAACACATTAATTTTCAGATTCATATTTCTCAGTACATCATTAAATGAATGTGATAAATGGACATGAACTGCTTCTTTTCTCTAAAATCATATTCCCTGCAATCCTCAGTGTTTGTCCCATAAAATCTTATTAAAAATAAGCCCCAGTGTATCTTTATGAATAGCACTTTTCTGTTGAAGAAGTTTGCTATGATTTTCTCATGTTCAACTTATCAAAAGAAGGAGAAATGGTAAAATGACAAAAACTGACTTTATAGACTTATAATTTAAAAAGGAGACTGGAAGGAAAAGCTGCATTTATGGGAAGTGAAAGTAGGATTGGAACATTTATCATTATAACTGAATTATGGTGCCCTGAACAAGAATTTTAATCCAGTTATGTTTTTCCCAATTAAAACAGGATTACACAACAATATACTGAAGGATGCGATAGGTTTTTTTTTCTGTGTGTTCGGCAAGGGATGATATACATACTTATACATATGATTTTATTTTTAAAAAATCACATAATTATCTTATATTCTAAAAAAATTGCTCATAGTGAAGAGGCTTCTATATATGCAGAAATCAATGTCCATAATCAGGGGAACTGTGGCTATTTCAGAAAAAATAGTAAACATCACTATTTGTTTACAAAAATAATCATATATAGATCCATTTCATCAGAAGCATAAAGTCTGTGATGAGTTATTCTAGTTAATAGATTATGTGTATCTATTGTGGGTCTCTACAGATGCATTGATACCTGTAATATTTCTGGGAATGACTTTGGGAAACAGAAATTTAGACAACCTTAGCCCAGGGGTCCCCAACCTATGGGTCGTGGACTGGTCCTGGGCCACAGGCTTGTGGCCACTGGGCCACAGAAATGGCTTGCCAATGCATTCACGCATGGGCACACATTCCCCCCCATTCGCACTAGCACCCGCGGCCCCATTTGCATATGCGCATGGGTGCAAACAGGGATGCCAGCACAGGGCGAGTGTCTGTGGCCCATTTGCGCATGCGTGAATGGGCTGCTACCCATGGGGGGGTGTGCGGCTGTTTGCACATGTGCACGGTGCCAGAGCATGCCGCATGCATGAATGGGGCCACTAGTGCCACACCAGTGTGCACGTGCACACCAATTTTGAAGCTGCTCTCCTTCCCTCTGGTCCGAGCCCGGAAAGGTTGGAGACCTCTGTCTTAGCCCACAAAAAAAAAAAGGAGTGTGAGACGCATCTCAGAAGGGACCCTCAAAGGCAGAGGAGGGGGAAGTGTTTTCAGATCTCCAAGATTTTGTTATAGTAACCCTTACAATAAAGGTAAGTTAGTTCTCATGATTTGTGCTTCTTGTCCAGATTACCTCAAACAGCTAGCATCAGTCTTAAAAGTCTGAAAGCATTTATCGTCTCATTTACTCATTTACCCCAAAACTAAGTAGAATCCTTTTTATGGGCTTTTCCTTCTGTGAGCTGAGCTACCTTTTACAAGTAGGTGAAGTTAAAAAATGAGACTACCTTGTTTAAAGCTGCTTTATAAAAGGTGAGTTTCTGAAGTATGGAGGAACCAGGAATGAATATTTCTTACTATTTATGTATTTCTTAAAATATTTATATGTCACTGGGTCTATGTAAGAATAGATAATCTTGGCAGAAGTTTTAAAAGCTGAGCAGAATTATTACTGGCTAATACTGGACTGGAAAACCCCCAAGAAATGAGGCTTTAAACTAAATTGGCAAGTTGAAAAAAATCATAAAAAGATAATGGCAAAATATTCCTTATTCTTATTAACTAAAAGCACATATTATCAAAAGCTGACTTCAGCTTTCAGTAGAAATAATTAATTATTTCTTCTATTATATTCAAAATTACAATTATCTGATAATACCCAGGACTACAAGGGGCTGTTTAGGTAGTGCATCTCAGCATTAATTATTATCAGTAAAAATTCTGCTCAGCATTAGATGAAGCTGTTTACATAAATATAGGAACATAAAAGCATTTTTTAAAAAATCATATGCTGCTTTTGTGACAACTATTTGATAGAAATTATATTTCAAAATAATAATACTTTGAGAATGTTGCCTTTTTACTTGCAATTGCATATGACTTTCTGATATCTTAAAAGAGAAAAATGTATGCAAATTGTTTTCTTAAACTTAACTTGTTTTTTTTTTATTTTCAGGAGCTGAAAATGAATTAAACATGGTTGATTCAAGCAATACTTCAGAAAATAACTGTGGTAGCAATAAAATCATTACACAACAAGTTGTTCCATTGATCTATGGTTTCATCTTTATAGGTGGAATACTGTTAAATGCAGCGGCAGCTTGGATCTTTCTTCACATTCCCAGCAAGACAAGTTTTATTGTTTATCTCAAGAACATTGTCACAGCCGACCTTATTATGAGCTTAACTTACCCTTTTAAAATACTTTCTGACTCCAAAATTGGACATTGGCAGCTCAATGTTGTTGTCTGCCGCTATTCTGCTGTCATCTTTTACCTAAATATGTATATTAGTATAACATTATTTGGACTCATAGGGTTTGACAGATGCTTTAAAATAATGAAGCCGCAATTCAGCACTTCGGCTTACAATGTCCAGTGTAGCAAAATTGTATGTCTGGTCATATGGCTGCTACAGATTCTTATCTCTTTTCCCAATATTATTTTAACAAACCAAACTCCTACGGAAGACAATTCAAATGACTGTATGAAACTCAAAAGCCATCTTGGAATCCAATGGCACACAGCTTCAAGCTACACATGCCTAGGAATTTTCTGGATTGTGTTTTTTCTCCTAATAGTCTTCTACAGTTCCATTGCAAAGAAAATATATATTTCACACCAAAAATTTAAGAAAAATTCCAAGCTGGTAAAGAAAAAGACCAATCGAAACATTTTCACCATCATGTTTGTGTTTATCGTTTGTTTTGTTCCATACCACCTGGTCAGAGCCCCATATACATTAAATCAAATCAAAGGTGATTACCACTGTGAGATTAAAAATATGCTGTTTTACCTAAAAGAACTTACTTTGCTACTGTCTGCTGCAAATGTTTGTCTTGATCCAGTTATTTACGTATTCCTTTGTCAACCATTTAAGGAAAAACTGTACCAAAAATTGCATCTGAAAGTTAGAACATCTGAAGAGTTCGAAAATTCTAAATCAAGAAAGTCAAATGCTATTGAAACAGTTACTATTTTATAAATTCTAATAGCAAGCATTTTCAACATTATGGAGATGTGGGCATGTTGTTAAATTAAGCAAACAGTTTATGACTGATGAAGAATATTTGTCCTACTCAATCATCGCTGCAATACCTATCCCCTTCCTTACACTATGAATTGATTACAGGTCATAGTCAATTTAGGACCACAGTTTAGACCAAAATTTCCATTGTTAAACATGGTAATTGTTAAGTGACTTTTTCCAATTTTAGGACACTTTTTGCCATTGTTTTTAATTGCTGCAGTTGTTAAGTGAATCTGGCTTTCCCCATTGACTTTGCTTGGCAAAAGCCAGCTGTGAGGGTCACAAATGGTGATCCCATGATGCTGGGATGCTGCAATCATTGTAAGTGCGAGGACCAGTTGTAAGTCACTTTTTTCCCCCAGAGCTTCTGTAACTTTGAAGGCTCATTGAATGAATGGTTGTAAATCAAGGACTGCCTGTTTTTGGGTTAGTTTCTGTTTTTTTCTTAATATATCTGATTATGAAGATGTCCAACTACATACATGTAGATGATATATGATTTAAAGTGTAGCAAAATAAACACATTCCACCAAATATCATTTTGAAAGCCCAGCAACTGATTTTAGAAATACTACTGAAAATACTAAAGAAATTAGCTGTGTTTTTTCTGAGTTTGTCCAAGATTTCCAGTCTGTTTTATCATTTTTCTTTTATAAAGAAATCCTCTTCCACATTAGCATACCCACACATTCAACTCAGCCATCAGACATCCTACTAGGTAGCCCACACAAGGGTAAGTGGGCATATGTGTGAAAATGTCAAATGATTTCATATGTACAATAAGGACAGGGTCCTAGAGAGTTTCTTCCTTTTAGAGATACAGATTGATACCAGTATTTATTTCAGTTCCATTTGAAGCAGAGATCTGTATGGAATGGGACCAATTGGATGAGAAATGAGAGTTTTGATGGTTATGATTCTTCCTTAGAAAATCAGGATGTAGTTCAATTTTGATTCACCACAGCAAAAGTGTGTCAACTCACCTGCCAGTTCAACTGTACAAATGACCAGCACACAGGCCATTTTGGACAGCAGACAGAACATTCAACAGAAAGTTGAATTACCAAATAGAGGAAAGACATTCTGTTGAATAGAATGCCAGAGGGTGAAAAAAGGACAGGATCTTTCCAGACACAAACATTACTACGGGCGTGCATGCAGACTTCTTCTCTAAATACAGTGCTGTTCTTACCATGCTTTTCAAGTTAAAGAATTATGCTGGCCTTAGCTTAGCAAAGTATGTGTTTATATACGTGCATACATTTCTACTCAGAACTTTTTACAAGTTCTTAACTGTTTCTCTTTTTCCCTCCTTCTTCACACAGATATTTGTATCTGTGCTTTGATATATTCATTCTGTTAAGACTCTGTTAGACACCTACCGTCCATACTTTCACGCTTACTTTTAACCTAGAGAGGTGATGGCAAAGGGGAAAATAAGTCTTTTTGAGCCTTTTGGAAAGTCAAACTTTCTTCGCTGACTCCTGGTTTGTCCTTTCCAAATGCTGTGATCTTAGTTCTTTTTCAACAGATAGTTCTCACCTTGCTTTCAAGTCATCCTTGCTCCTGTTAGATCCCTAGTTACAGATTCCTCCTTTCTTCCCCTAACTTTTCTTTCATTCATATAGCAGCCCCAGGCAATACAGCACCAACTACCTTGTTCACAGCCCAGTTTTAGAGGTATTTGCTCCAAAAGGCAGACATCCGCTCACAAGAATTAGACAAAGTCTCTATGTGATTCTTTGCATGGGATTGGCCAATAGACAGAAATCTTAACTTTGAGACTACTTAATGTGCATCAGGGCAACTTACTAAGTTATATCATATATGAGATACTGTATCTGGTTTCACCGATATGTTCCTGGAAGTTGCATTTCTTAGTATTCACTTGATCTCTCTGCTGGTGAGAGATCAAAAAAGTCAAAAAGCTGAGTTTTGATCAATGATCAAAGCCCTCATGATCAAAATCCTGATTCTTTGTATATATGTCAACATTGCATGCATGTATAAAGGCGCCAGGCTTCGATCATATGGTTTGCACATGCTATCTTAATTTTTATTCATTGGCAGATGTCCCTGAATTGTAGTTCAGAAGTTGAAACAGATAGATAGTATATTAAGATTGGACAACTTGAGGTTTAGCATTATCTGACAGTTTATGAGATATTTGCGATGATCAAACAAGTTTCCCATCAGTTGTCATTTGCAACTCATATCTCTAATGAGATAGACATCAATTTAGGAATTTTTTTCCCTTAGCCTCATATCTCAAAGCTCTTCTAATCTGCATTATTAATATGCCTAGAAACCATGGAAATTAACTTCAAATTCAAACTTAAATGCCCAAGGGCAAGCAATAAATATGACAATACTGGGAGAAATATTTACTAATGAGTAAAAATAATCAGAGAGCACTGTAATGTTTTTGCATACTATGTCTTGAATTATTCCTCTTCTTTCCTACACTGGGATTACTTTCTCTGATGTCACATACACTATTATAAAGCAATGTTTTACTTGTTCACAGTTTGCGCAATGTCTAAAATAGGTTATAACACTCATCAAAACAGCATGCAGAAGGAACTTGGGATATTAAAGCTGTAGAAAAAAATACTGGGGAAAGACATGGAACTAACAGTGTTTAGACATATAAAAAGATACCATAGGAAAGGGTCAGGAACTAAGTTTCTATTGTCACAGAAATTAGAACAAGAAATGATAGTATTAATTGAAGCAATAAGAATATTGCAGAAGTTGTCAGAGATGTTTCCTCAAAAGCCTGTAAATCTGTTTAATATAGGTGATGGAATAGTATAGGAAGATTTCACAAAACGTCTTCTTCAGCTGATCCAAATAGCCCCCATGCTTACTGGGCAGCCATTTTATTGCCACATTGTACCATTGCTATAGAAACAATGCTGGTTACAAAATGTTGCAGAGTACAGTTCAAGGTACTGATCTATCTTTAAAGTCCAATATGGCTTGACAAGACTATCTTAAAAAAAATCATGCCTTTCCCATATGGTATAGGGTTTCCTGCCTGAGCAGAGGGTTAGACTAGATTACCTCCAAGGTCCCTTCCACCTTTATTGTTATTATTATTATTAGTTTATGCCTGACTGATCCAAAGAGGCAGATAAAGCCTGATGAAGAAGCATCTTCTGTGGGAGCTCCTTTCCTTTGGAATAGCTTCTCTCTTAGGGCAAGGATGGCTCCCACTCTTATGGCCTTCTGGAAGCTGGCAAAGATACAGCTGTGGCAGAGGGCTTCAAAGATTAGTTACAGAGTCAACATATATAAATTAGTCAATATATGAATGTTTTATTGGAATTTGTAATCAATTACTGTTATTATTGCATTTCATTGTTATTATTCATTTATTATTGTTGGTTTTAGTATGTTTTTTTATTATTACTTGTAAAAACACCTAGAGTCCTTACAAATTAACTGCATTGGGAAATAAATATTGTATTGTTTTCAAGTGCTTTACAATTGATTTATTATATACCATTCAATTATTTTTAACTTCTAGTGACCAACAGATGATCTACTCCTAACCTATTTCATGTCTCCCAAAAGTGCACTCATACCTTTGTAATTAAATCCATTGCTACTGGTCATTCTTTCCTTCTCTTCCCTTCTAATTATATATTCTATGCATGTTGCTTTCTTGGTAAAAATATAGGAGTGGTTTATCAATGCCTTATCCCAGGTATATGAAATGATGTCTTTGCCATTATCACTAAAGTGATCATCTGCCTCCAGCATCTCCCTATATCACTGTTGCCTGCTTGCTTTAGCTGGCAGCTGGGATGATCTTCACATAGCATACATTCCCAACATTGGTATACACTGCTAACAGTCTTCATTCATCCCTCCCTGGAACACACCACTACCACCACAATAAGGCAGCAGAGTAGGGGGTGGGGACTTTGAGTCAGTGCTGATGCCTTAGCTGCTCCTACCATGAAATGCTGTTATAATTGCTCTGAGTTCATTAAAATCTACCTTTTTAAAAGTTCTAGATAAGTGTTTGTCTACACTCAGCATCAATTTCTCTTAAAAACAAAATGTCCACCATTGCATAATATCTTCCATTCAATGCTCTTACTACTCTCATTTCTTCAGCAAAGTCTTCCCTTTGAGTTAAATCAATTGAAGGACAGGGGAATCTTTACACAACAGAAATACAACAATAGCAATTCTACAAGAAAACTAGCTTCCTCTCCTCATAAAAATTCATTATTGCATATTCATAACTTTACTTGCTCTCACTTTCTCTTTCACACAAACACACAAAGCCCTTGTTACAAAAACAGAGAATGGATTTTCTGCTGCTGCAACAACTTTGCTATCTTGCATAAGATATTGTTCTATATCATTCTTTAAGCAGCTTTTAACTAGCTATCTTGCACACCTAAGATTTTCAACTAACTTCTGATTTCCCATGCATCAACTGGAAAACTTGAAAGACACAGGAAATTCTATTATACCAGCCACAAACCAAAGAAAGAACTCGCTGGGCAACATTAAACAGAACTACTTCTGTTTTTCTGAAACATTAGCTAAGACAGCAGGTATGTACTCTTAAAATATATCTCATTATCATTTTCTAACTATGCTTAATGTCATATGTAGTGCCATATTTCTTTCTAAATCTCAAGGGTAATGTTGAACTTCATCAGTTATTACGGGTTTATCCTGAGATAAATTAAGCATGTGACAAATTAAAAGGAATGTAAAAAGTTCATGGCAAGGTTTATACTACTAAAGCCTCTTCAAACCATTGAAATGCCCACCCAGAGTGGATAATGTATTATTGTTATTATAAGTTTATTCTACTGTTAAATAAACAGGCATAGAAAAGGATGCAAAACCACCTTTGAAACAAAACAGCACACTGAGCTTCTCTTTATTTATGGCAGACTGAGGCAGATCTTAATTTCCACAGTTCTCTCTCTTCTAGGTAAAATATAGATTGATCAGGAGAGGGGGGGGTTATATTTTTTATTTTTTTGCTTTGGTTGCCTTTTTTTGTTATTCCCCCCCCCTTTTCTGGGCACAACATTGGTTAAACAATTAGCAAAGAAATAAAAGAATGAACAAATAGTCAAATAGCTGAAGAAATGCAAAAAAGAAGGTTCTCTCATTCTGATTGTGAAGATAGTGGACAATCATAATGTGGTACCAATAAAGGAGGATATTTGTAGGTCAGAATTGAAATAAAAAGGTCCTTAGTGATCTCTATGCTTGGTTGTTTTCTTGCAGATGTTTTATTACCCCCAAACTAGGTAACATCATCAGAGCACTGGTTTCTCTTTATCTATTAGTGAAACTAGACTATTAGTGACACTACATTTTTTTAAGAATTGTTACTACTTATACTGGTAAAAAAAATACTAGTTTTGTTGCAGAGTAGTACCTTGCACATGATCCCAGCATTCGATACAACACTACTATTTACATCTTAATTAAACTATCTTTAAGATTATAGGCAATGCCTAAACTTTTCCTATCCTGACTTTATTCAAAAACTTTAAAAACCTTTTCTATATAACGTTTGGTCTAATGTATTCTAATGTATAGGTTGAGGGGCTCTTAAGCTAATAAGTATGTTAGGCTGTGTTTTGTTACTCTGCCCAAACAATTATTTTTCTTCTTTCTTTTTTTCTTTCTTTCTTGTTTTCTCTCTCTCTCTCTTTCATTCACAGATTCAAGGTGATTCCTATAATTTGCCTTTACTGTTAAACATTTCAGATGGCTTCCATCAATTCTTCAGAATGCAATATTTACTCTCAGATGCAGCCATTCACTTATATTTATTACTTGATCTTTCTTATTGGGTTCATTGGGAGCTGTTTTGCCCTCTGGAACTTCTTGAAGACTAAGAAGCATCACAAATGCATGAATGTTTACTTAATTAACCTACTAACAGCAGATTTTTTGCTGACCCTTGCCCTGCCAATGAAAATAATTGTAGATTTAGGAGTTGCCCCATGGAAACTGAAAATATTCCACTGTCAAGTCACAGCATGCCTGATCTATATTAATATGTACTTATCAATCATATTCCTGGGATTTTTAAGCATGGACCGGTGTCTCCAGTTAACAAAGAGTTACAAGATCTACAGGATTCAGGAACCTGGTTTTGCCAAGATGATATCAGCAGTTGTATGGGTAATGGTTCTCTTCATCATGGTACCAAATATGATTATTCCAATCACAGAGATCGAAGAATCATCAAATGTAGGGTGCATTGATTTCAAAACAAAAGTGGGAAGAGACTGGCATGTGTTCACCAATTTCATATGTACTGCAATATTTCTGTATTTTTCAGCTATGGTGCTTATCTCTAATTTCCTTGTGATCAGATTACTGTATCAAAACAAAGGTACAGAAGGCTATCCCAGGGTAAAAAGAGCTCTGGTAAACATCCTTTTAGTTACCGCAAGCTATATCATATGCTTTGTTCCTTACCATATTGTTCGAATCCCATATACGCTAAGCCAAAGTAAAACTATAATCACAGACTGTTTTCTTAGAGAATCTCTTTACAAAGCAAAAGAATCCACCTTGCTTTTTGGTGTATCAAACCTGTGCTTTGACCCCATTTTGTGTTTTTATTTTTCAAAAACATTTAGGCTAACAGCGACTAAAAGTTTTGTACCCTTTAAAGGTAGACATGTTTCTCTAGGTGATTAAGAAATGCATGGAGAGAAAATACAACAGTTTCAGGTTTCAGCTGAGATTGCAATCTTTTCCACATGAACAGGACATTAAAAATACATTTGTCTTCCCACTTCTTTGGTACAGTTTGGATTTCTATGGTTTGAATAAGGTTACAGATTGTTGGGGACAAGAGGTGGTAAGACTGAACAGAAGGAGAACATGGACATTTCTGGTGGTATGCCAAACAGTAGTTTATACTTCATCCTCTAGATCAGAAGTATCCAACCTTTCCGGGTTCGGCGGCTTGGTGAACCGGTGCCAGTGGCAGCAGCGGTGGTCAGGAGTGAATTAAGGGATGGTTTTGTGCACACACATGGCACTTTCACAAACGTAGATTTCACCCACCACTTCTATAGGCCGCTTCTGAATAGGCTACGGGCCAGCATTGGGCCATGGACCGGGGTTGGGGATCCCTGCTCTAGATTGCAATGAACTTCCCAAAATAGTTCAAAATTAAATAGTAAAAATATAAGATCAGCATCATCATACAAAGCTATAATTAAACCAGTAGAAAACAGCTGAAAGACATGAAACATGAACACTGGCTAAAAAGCTCATTTAAAAGGCCTGGGTAAGATTTAAATCTCACTTGTTACTGAAAAATGTCTCCAAAATTAGTGCAGAGGTTATTTCATCAGTAAATAATTGTTAGATGTTGTCAGAGTTCAGATTAAGAGCTTCTGAATGTGGTGACTCACACAAAGATCTTAAAAGAGAACCATGTTTTCATGATCTGCTTAATAGTAAATCAGTTCTTACTTTGCTGTTTTTAATACAAAGATAAACTATATGTGTTGGAAGAGAAATTTTAATCAAATTGATCACAGAAAAAAGAAAAAGTACACAGAGAACTTCCTTGTGCATGCATCTGAATCAGATATATATCATTTCATACACTATTTTCTATCTTATTCTTCCCCTTATTGCATGTCTGCCATTGCTAAAGCAGAAGAACAGATGTGTTTCAGGTCATTATTCCCAAACTGGTGTCCTTCAAAGCTATGGAAATGTTAAGCACCTCTGAATAAAACTAAATAAGAAAAGACAATTTTCAAAGGGTATCATTACAAGAAACTTCCATAATTTTTTCCCTTTTGGGTAACTTCAGGCAATACTTTATTTCAAGAGGGACTGTACAATTTTCAATTATTGTTATTATTCTCTGAAGAACACCTTCTAAAAAATCTGAAAATGTTAGTCCTATATGAAGGAATGTCTAACAGACCTCAGGAACATGGAGGTAGAACATTGATTCAGGAAAGAGGCAAGCATGTGAAAGAGACTCAAACTCATTCTGCTTTAATTACACAAGGTATCAGTCGTTCTGAAGAAATGCTTTGCTAGGCTTTAAACATTACTTCATCCTATTTGCAATAAGAAGCATTCAAAAATATAAGTAATCCTGAATTTGCAGTCTTTAAGAGCTTCACATCCAGTTTTCAACAACTGACATGGCACAGATTACTCAACTCTGGCTCTAAACCTAATATCTTACACCTGTGCGCCTTTCAAAAGGCCAGCATTTTTAATTCTTTATAAAATCCATGGTGCATTCATTAAACATAATGTTTAATTATCTGTCTGGCCAGGTTCCTGCAGTTTTCTTGGCAAGATATTCAGAAGTGGTTTGCTGCTGCTTTCTTTCTAAGGCTGAGAGAGAGTGACAGGCTCAAAGTCACTCACCTGGCTTTATGCATGAGATTGGATCAGAACTCACAGTCTCCCAATTTGTGCCTTAATGCCTTTAACTATTACACCAAACTGATTCCCTGAAGTCTAGCTAACAAAAAATTCATTCATAAGAGTTTAATCTGTTTATATAATATTGATTCCATCCATACCAAATTGTATTTCCAATTAATTAGATCCCGTTACGTATAACAGAATAGGTTTTAACTATGATTAAACTGTTATTCTTTTCAGTGAAATAATGGAGAAGCCAATTAGAGAGCGAGTCTCAATCCAACTAAATTGTGATGTACATTATGAACTGATGACAATAAGTTTGGAACCCAATAAACTTACACAGACATATTTCCTAATTAATATATATGAAGTGGATCTCATTGTTCAGAAGTTTGCATCAGCTCTTAAAGATGGGAAGGGTTACTTACCAAAGGTATAGGAAAATGTGTAGCATACTGCAAATGTCGAAGAAGGTGGTAATTTGATGGAAAAATCAGCTCCCTTACTTTTTCTTTCTTTGTAGACTTTTCATTATTTACTGAAGCTCTTCTGTCTTGTACTGGTATTGAATTCAGATTTTCACAAGACTCCACAGGCATTGGAGAAAAGATCTAGAACATTTAAAATATTTAATATTATAAACAGAAATGTCCTCCAGATTTATATTTTTTAAAAAAGAAAAGAAAAGAAAAAACAAGAAATAAAAGTATCTATGATGTATTTTGAATATAATGGAATTATCTTCAAATATGCAATAATGAAATTATAGATGCTGATGAGGAGGTTGGAATAGCATTCAATACCAGCAATATAACAGTTACTATTCTAGCAAACTTTCTACATTCCATGAAAGCAGCAACAGACAATTTTACTGAACAATTTCCTATTCCAGCTCCCAGCCTTTATGTTGTAGTAATAAGAAAATGGGGCAAATGCAAAGCTTTTGAGTAAAAAGACATAAAAATAGGGTAATCGTTTCTTATGCCAAAGAAACCTGCCTATGTACAGGTAGCTTTTGACTTACAACTATTTGTTGGGTGACCATTTAAAATTACAACAGCACTGAAAAATGTGACTTATGACAATTTTTCACATTTATGACTGTTGCACTAACCCCATGGTAACATGATCAAAATTCAGATGCTTGGCAACTAAGATTATCCCACCCATGCCAGTACAGCAGGCATGCTGCGGGCCGTCAGCCCATTTGTTCCAGCCAGCAGGATTCAGGAGAAGGCCTTCTCTGCTGTCACACCTGGAACATCTTGCCCCCCCCCCCAATGTTAGGTTGGCCCCAACCCTTCTGATCGTTCATTAAGGGCCTGGCTTTGCCAGTTGGCTTGGGGCTCCAATGCGGTAGCATCCCAGTGATGGTTGATTAATTAATAACATATCCCACCTCCTTCCCACCCTTCCCCCTCCCTCACCATATGTAACTGGATCATTGTGTTTGAGAGTATTAATTTATTTATTTTAACATAAATACATATTTTTATATTTCATGATTATAAGCTGCCCAATTTTACCTTATGGTAAGATGGGCGGCCTATACATTAATTAATTTTACCCCATCCAGAAGTGTTTTTCGGGCTATAAAGCATGCTTCCCAAGGCCACCATAACTTTGAATGGATCGTTAAAGGACCAGTTCTAAGTCGAGGACTATCTGATATTTATAAGTTTTCAGTTAACATTCAGTTCCTTCACTGCAATTCGCAAGTGAAACAATAACATTTGCAATCATTTTACTGCAGGATTTCTATTAAATCATACCACTGTACTAATTAACTTAGTACCATCAGTTAACAGTAGCTCTCTGGGATTTTAGCAAGAGGACAATATGACATTTTGATTTTTTTTTTTTAACTTCAAATAAGCAGCAGCCTCAATTAGCATGCCCAATAAAAGAGTTTCTTTAAAAATGCCTTTTCACCTCTTCCCTATGCTATTGATATAAAGATTGAAAATAGCCTATCACACAATAAGGTGAAGAACCTATAACTCAGGCTAACACTGAGGTAAATGCTTACAGTAAATTTTATATAAATTTTGGGGGGAAGTATTAACATTTTTCAGAAACATCTAAAACTAACAGTTCCTATTTTAGCAAGAAAACAATTACAGTACGTGTTTGTACAATACTGTACATCAAAGAAATGTAAAACATATTTATTTATTTTTCTTATTTTTTTGATATGGGAAATATTTGGCTTTGTTGTCAGGCCACTGATGACTGATTATTCAGAAGTGCCTCATTTCTACACATCACACCATGCTCAAACATGCTCTTTGGGAACTTGAGCCTCTACATGCTGAAATTTGGTTCAGATGAAGTGGCTATCCATGTTACACTAATAAATACCAACATTGCCAGGTCTATGAAATTATTTGAATTTCAGGATTTTCTTCAACAACAACAAAAACCAATATGAAGTTATGCTTGAAGATGTGCATGACGCGGTAACCACAATGGTATTTTGAACATTAGTGGAAATAGATGAGGAAGCTTGAAAACCTAATGTGATACTGTTTCACAGAATAAAATTAGATTTCTGCTAGACAAGTTGAGGTATGTGAAAATATGAAAAGAAATGTATAGTAGATAATCAGAGCATATTCCATGATGTCATGTAGCAAAGGGAATAATGAATAAATATATAGTTTGTGGGTTTAAAATAAGGAGTGAAACCTACTGCAAATTCCGAACCAAAGTCTGTCTTAAAGTCATTCTTGTCTACATCATCAAAAATATTAGTGGTTCCTGAGTCAATATACATTTGTTCCATAAGACTATGTTCCTAATTGTCACCAAAGAGACAAAAAACAAAAATGTGAGTCAGAGTGTAGTGAAAACCCTTTGGACTCGTCACAAATTATATGAATTCAAGTATAACATAAATTACTGATTATATGCAGTAAGAATGAATACTTTATAATAATCAATACACATTACAATCAAGATAGGTTATCTTTGGAATTGTGCTTAAAATAATAAAATTAACAAGCTTGAGTAGACTGTGCTCAGAAGATCAGTCTGTACTGTAGATTTGTTTACAATGAATGAATGATCTCTCAGGAAATGTGTCTTTCTGCTGTGGGATCAAGTGCTTTAGTGAAGAGGAAGAAAAAGTGTAGCAAACCAATTTCAGCTGCTCTAGAGGATTAAAATTTCTCTAAGGCAGCATAAATTACAATGTATTTAAAAGCTGGAAAGAAATATTCTTGTAGTTTCAAACAATAAGCAGTATTAAATATATGTTTGTAAGTTTCCTCTCACACAGTTGGGTAGTGAAATATCTGCAAGAAAACCACCAAGTTCAGAAAGCACCAAGAGTCCCATAGACATTATTGGATTTTACCAAATGCCTCAAAGAGGGAAACAAGACCCTCTATAGTTAAAACAAAAAGTTCTCCAAAATTTGCTTGCAAATTCTAAGTACCGGTACATCCTTTTTCCTGTGTTGGTGTCCCCACATAGGAATAATAGACTTGCACTAACTATAGTGACCTTTCAAAGATGTGTTTCTCAGGACTTTGGAAAGTTGCTGTTGCCTGGTATGTGTTGGCACAATGATTCTATAACATTTATTATTACTTTAATTTTTTAATATTGTATTTTTATTGTGGCCACATTGTTGTGTTAGTTTTAATTATTGTAAATCATCAGGAGTTGTACATTTTTGGAAGTATTTGAATGAGAGAAATCCATTTATATTTTTTTCAAAAGTAAGTATTTCTATTGGGTTTTTTTTTTATAAATACCATTTGATGTAGAAGAGCCAGACAAGTAGCATTTTATTTCATTTCATCCAGTAGCAGCCATGGAAGCCCAAAGATTATGGCAAATCACAAATTATCTTTTAAACTTATTGTTTCAGGTTTCTTCTAACATTATATATCAATTCAGAGGTCAAATAATCCAACCTTATACACATAAAGTATTTATTAAATTTATATGCTGCCCATCTCCATGATAAGGCAACAATGGACTCCTTACCTCAAGTTTCACATCATGTTCCTTGGAATAGTGCTCATCCATGTTTTCCCCAGCTGGTGAACGTGCTCTAGAAGTTGCAGTGACAGATAAATCTCCACGTGATATTAAAGTGCACATGTAAGCATCATGTGAGAAAACATCATGCCGTATAAATTCACCAAAAAGCAGCACTAGGTTCACAAATTCAGTTTTTTCATATTCACTGTTTGGATCAGCTAACAATAGATAAAGGGTTGAATTTTGTTAATTTCCCAATAAATCCAAACAGGTACAAAAAGTAATACAGTTGTTGGGTAAAATGTTAAATGTACTTAATCCTAATCTGGAACAGATATAATTTGATACTTACGTAATGAGGGGGCTTGAGTATCTAAAAACCTAAGGAGAACATTCTGGAAAACAGGGAGACTAGATCCAGCAAATGATGCTGAAGAAATGGACTCCTTTTCATCTATGATTTCAATTTCACCACATCTCTATAAAAGTATATAAAATAAAATAATAGACTTTTAGTATCATAACTATAAAAATTACTTTCATCCCCTTCTTTTCCCAGAAATTCCAAAGAACAACTAAATTAAGGAGAAAGGACTTATCAATTCATTTGTAATAGGAACAATGTGATATTCTATGAAGAAATCTAATTCAAGAGTTATTTGACTCTTGGCTTAGTAAAACACAAGTACAAATTAAGAAACTGTGTTGCAGTGTCACCATGTTCTTTTTGCTAAAGAAATGAAAGGCTATTCCTACATCGCTTTCAAACACTAGAATTATAGAAGATACCTTTGACTGACATCTCTTAACAACAATGTGAAGTCACAGCTGCTAGTACCTTAGCTAAGATTGGTCTTCATATACATCAAGTTCTTCCCAAGAAACTATTGTTATTTATCGGTGTGGTGTGTGTGGATGCAAACAGTGTAGCTTTTGCAATCCAAAAAAGCAAATTTTGGCAATGTGCAGATTTTCTAGGTGCTGCCCAGGATTTTTTGGTGTAGAACCCAATGTGCCCATAATCACTGGGATCGCTATGGCCAGTTTATAACATAATTTTTCAATTTTTGTTTTCAGATCTTGATATTTTGTGATCTTCTCCAATTTTTTGTCTTCTAGTCTACTATCCCTTGGCATTGCCACATCAAATATCCACACTTTCTTCTTTTCAACCACAGATATATCACTTTATCACTTGATATTCAGCAATCCCACAATATTTAATGTTTATTTTCATGTTCTATGTTCCCACTCACTTTTCATTACTGGTACATGATAAATTTTACAGATAGTCCAGTGAATCATTTTGGTGACTACGTTATGTTGTTGTTTATAATCAGTTTGTGTGATCTTTTTCCATGAACTGCATCTACTATTTTCTCTGTTTCTTTGTACAATCTGCACTTTTAATCACTTGATGATTTTTCAGCTCTGCCCTTGATTGCGTTACTTTAAAAATCCTGGTCTTGCACAGTCAAAATTAAACCCTCAGTTTCTTTTTTTTTTTTAATGTTCCAGCCTGTGCCAGGTTTATCTGATCTTTGGTAGAAATTAAACCATGTAATGCTTTTCATTGACAGCATTCTGTTCTTGTTTTTGTTACAATATATTGAAATTCACTTTTTGTTTCCTGTACATTTAGTTAGTTCCCATTTTTAACTTGCATTAATGCTTGCTTTTGGCTGTCTTTTACATAATCAGCTATATCTCTATGGAAATTCTCAAGTCATCCAGGTCATGGTTGTCCCAAAGGTGCTTTTTCAAAGGCAACTGGACTTTGTTTCTCCTTGAAGATGTTTTGCTTCTCATCCATGGCCTCTTTGATCCCTCTTTCAAACCAAAAGAGGTTTGAACCAAAAGAGGTTTGAAAGAGGGTCAAAGGTACCATCTATATTAAGACTACACAGCCCTCTCTAAACACAGAGGAATACAACAACACTTATCTCCTATTTACAACAGAGTCCTTTCAGGAGTTCAAGAAAGTTCCACAACCATTTGCACTATTTAGGTGATCCTGAGAGCACAGATAAACCGCCAAATGGCCTCAATGACTCTCAGAATGAGTGCTAATGATCAGATGACTGCGAAGAATATAAATCCTTCCATTCTCCACCATTCAGTCAGAAGTGAAGAAGCTTCTTGGATGAGAAGTGAAACATCTTCAAAGAAAAACAAAATCCAGTTTCCTTTGAAAAGGCACCTTAGGGATAGCCAATGCATGCTTTTCTTTTTGACAGTTTGTTTGACCAGAAGTAAATCTCTGCCTCCATTTCTGGAGGGCAGGTATAATAATTAATATCACTACAGGGATGCAATATAGTGAATAGGTATCAAATTTCTAGATTTCAGGCTACACTATCCAGTTAATAATTCTAGCAATGTATTGTATCACAGGTGTAGCCCAGCCATCTATGTTATTGATGGTATTATTATTGTTCGTCACAGAGTCAGTCAGATGTTTAGACTGGATTTGGCATTTTTATCCGATTGAGTCTTTCCCCAAGGACTTAGGGTAAGCAGATGTTGTTTGATGATGTTAAAGATATTGTCAGGGATGTAAGCTATTACAAGTAAATCTATTTTTATTTGCATGCCTTTGTATTATGTCATTTTCTCCAGTTATTTCTTTACTATTCTGCTGTGTCCAGATACTGCCTTGTTCATTATCCAGACATTTTTTACTTTTCTTTGAACAAATGTTAAACCTGGAATGTTATGTGGCAGATGCTTGACTGTTTAAATTCTAAAGTTACAGAGCATTTCAGCTTCTTCATTTTCTCTTGCTTTGTTTTTATAGGCCCACCAGTTCTTGCTTGCAGCAAATGGTATTTCTTGCAGATCTTCCAATGCACCATACTTTGTCATGCTATTTTTGCAGTCAATCTATGCAGCAGTGAACTGATCTATCCACTATTTCCTCAGCTTCTTTGCAGATATGGCATTTGTTGTCTATGGCTATCTTCTCTGGCTTTGTATTCATTTATTCTTAAGGCTTGATCTTGTGAGCCAGAATTAGCTCCTCTTTTTCTTCTATTTTTTTCTGTTCTTAGCCATTGCCAAATCTTGTTTTAACATTTTGCTTTGCCATGTCTATTCTATTCTTCATTTGGTCTTGCTTGTAGGTCAGTCTGGTTTCTCCAGTACTCAGTAAGCCTTCATGATATACTAGCTTCACTGCATCTTCTACAATGTTCTCCAGATATTCTTCTATACCCCTTTTCCTTAAACTGCCTGGTGTACTTACAACATTCCATGCCCATCTATTTTCCTTGGTAAGTAGAATATGTCAACATTACTGTGGAGATGAAAGGCATGATTCATTGACATCATTTTCTGGTCTTCCTATCCAGGGCTTTTTGTTTTACTTGAGCCCAGTTCACTATTCCAACTGTGTGTCTGATGAGCAGAATTGCCCAGGTGTTAATTGCATTAGCTGTATTTATTCCACTGAGTTTGGACTTTTAGATATAGTCACTTTTAACCTTTTCCTTGACTTCAGTGTGCTTAATTATTATTATTAATTAGTGAGCTTATAAATTTGTTAATTTTATTTTCTATTGTGGACATTTTAAAATATGATAAGTACTGCTGCTTATTCTTTCATGTGCTGTAAACTGCCAGGGATCAATTAACTGCAGTAGGTATACATTCAACAAATAAATAAATATAGAGTATACGCTCTTCAACACTGGAACATCTTTTATAATCTTTTGTAAATAGCCACAAGCACCGATAGGACTCTAGGTTGCATACAAATATTATCTACAGAGAACAAAATAATTAATGCATGCCTCTATGAATTAAAAATATTATTATGGCTGCTGAATTACATGAATAAAAGGGGACTATTACATCTATCCACTATGTTTAAATACCTTTTTTACATGATGTGGTAAAAGATATTGAACCATAGCCTGAAAAAATCATTCCAGCAGTTTTAAAATGGCAGTTTAGTACTTTCTTTAAGTTATACAACTTTGATTATGTACCATCTGTAAATTCAAAGTGAACTATAGAAAGTCCAATATGTAAATGCTTTTTCTTTGTTTTGTCCCAAAAATGTGGGAAGCATGCCAAAGCTTCTTTAGAATTGTCCAAAAGATTCTCTGTAGACAGATTTGCACTGCAGATCAGGAACATCATGCTTGGTCTCTAAAAGATGGAGCAAATTTTCCTCTAGAAATGAAGACTAGCAGATAACTTACTTCTGCCTCAATTTCAGTTTGCCTCTTCTCCAATAGTTTAGCTACAGCCATTGCCCGGTGCTTACCAGATCTTTTACTACTCACAGCCCATTCACAAAGCAATGTTACAACAGCTTCATCATTAGGTGCAACCTATTAAATCATAAAAGCAAATGTGTTATTCATTTGAATGTTAGAACTTTTTATAGAATATAATATTATAATATTTTATTAGAGTGTTTATACTTTTGTTAAGACTCATAAATCATGTTTTATTTTGGTTTGTTTGAGATTTGTTGGTCTTCTTATTCTTCACTATTGATAGCCTTGGAGACAGCTTGCCCAGGAAAGTGAGATAAGGTATACGTTCCAAGAACAGCTTCTCCTTAATTAATGCATTCTCAGAAAATTTAAGAGGGAAAGAAAGAAAGAAAGAAAGAAAGAAAGAAAGAAAGAAAGAAAGAAAGAAAGAAAGAAAGAAAGAAAGAAAGAAAGAAAGAAAGAAAGAAAGAAAGGGGAAGGGAGGGAGGGAGGGAGGGAGGGAAGGAAGGAAGGAAGGAAGGAAGGAAGGAAGGAAGGAAGGAAGGAAGGAAGGAAGGAAGGAAGGAAGGAAGGAAGAATTAGGTAACTGGGTAAGGGGATGGTGGTATTGTATCTGGGTAACTGGGTAAGGGGATGGTGGTATTGTATCTTGATTGGAAATGAGAGATCCCACCCCCTCAGCCTATAGTATGGGGAATTTGCAGGATTCAGTATTCTTTCCACTTCTTTCCTGTTTAAGGTATATCTGAAGGTGCTGGATGAGATAATCTGTCACCATGGGGTGAGAAACCATCAGTGTGCTGATGATATTCAGCTTTACATCTCTATCCCTAGTGAGCTTAAGTGATGCTGATGATGTCCTTTTTCAGTGCCTGGAGACTTTGTGGATCTGGAGGGTAACAGCCTCCAACTGACTGAGCAAAAACTTTTCTTAATAATTTCTTTTCAGTATTCCATTAGGTTGAAAAAAATAAAAAGGAGGAATAGGAAAACGGGAGTACTGTTTCTGATCCAAGATAGAATGGAATTGTGAATTATTTTTAAAAAATAGCAAAGAATGTAACAACAGCAAGGGAATGCTTTAAGAACTGAGTTTCATTAGCTGTTCTTTTTAAACTAATTTTTTACTTTTAAAAGCCTTCAAGTATTTTTAATTAATAATATTTTAATTTATTTCTAGCTTTCAAAATTTCTAAATAGGTTCTTCAATTCTATTCCACTGTTTCCATATTTTTGTTTTCAAGTTTTCTATATTTTATCTTGCATTGGGGGGGTTAGTACATAAAAATCACAAAACTATTATCAAGTAAATGTTGCACATCATCCACAAAAATTATAAAACAACATTCACATTTGATTAAAAATAAACAGCAGAACATGAGAGCCAGGTTGGTGTAGTGATTAAGGCATCAGACTGGAAACCGAGATACCATGAATTTTGGTCCCATTTTAGGCACAAAACCAGCTGGATGACTTTGGGCAAGTCACTTTCTCTCAGCCCTAGGAAGGAGGCATTATCTTCTGAAAAAACTTGCTAAGAAAACCGCAAGTATTTGCTCAGGTATAATTCCTGAAAAGAATGATACAGCATGATACAGCAAAATGGCCATCACAAGCCCTGCAGATGCACTAATGTACCCATTACACACTTGAAACTGAAACTCTTGCAAAACAGACGTTGGCTTTGTAGAAGGAAGGGGAAAACAGCTAAGAACATCTTGTTCTTCCTCTTCTCTTTCTTTACCATATGTATAACAATTAGCCCCAAGATAGTGAAATGGAGAAGCCACAGCTGCTCACTACCTCCAATTCCTAGTATGATAGAAATTGACCACTTTCCTAGTATGATAGGAATCAGGGCTTTTTTTTCTCACAGAACGCCCAGAACGGAGTTCCAGCACCTTTTTTGGATGGAACCAGGTTGGATGCAAGGCAGGTTGGATGCAAGGCAGGTTGGATGACGTGTGTGAGTTCCGGCACCTTTTTTTTTTTTTTTTTTTTAGAAAAAAGCATTGATAAGAATTGACCACTTTCAACAGAGGCCATCTCAGGCCTCTAGTCATGAGTAACAAATAGAAGGATGCCATAAGAGAGGGAGAGAATTGAAACAGAAATAAGATGGAGAGAAGTAACAGATGCTAGGAAACCAAAATCTCCAGGAAGAAAGCAATGGCTAAAGAATACAACAGCTGGGATTGATTATGTGCCTAGCAATCACATAGACTTTTTTCCCCCATGATGATCTGTCCCTAATCTTGTCAGGTCTTCCAACAATGAATCCATTGTCATGGTAACTGAATTCATCCGCCTTGCTGCTGGTCATTGTCTTCTTTTTCTTTTCATCTTTTCCCAGCACTAACTTAGAGTCTTCTCCACAGAGTTAAGTCTTCACATAATATGTCTGAAGAAGAAAAAATTTAACCTGATCATTTGTGCCTCAAGTGAAGACTCTGGGTTGATTTGTTTGATTATTCATTTGTTCAGTTTCTTGGCTGTCTACTGTAGTGTCATGAGTCTTCTCCAACATTGAAGTTCAAAAATGTTTTATTTGTTTATTTCTTAAATTTGTTTGCAGCCCACTTTGCTGTATGTATATATATATATATTGCATAATTTTGCATACATATACAACTTACTGCACATTTCTCACTGCATGAGTGATATATAGATGTCTGTGTCCCACCCCTTGACAAGCTATATATCTTGCTGGGAATAGCCCCACCAGGTGTTAGAAGGAGTATGGCACAAGACATGGAATACGAAAAGGTGTTACAAGATCTGGCACACTCATTATTTCACCAAGTATCCCCTACAAAAAGATTGAAATCAAGAAGGTTTTAGACTGCCCCAATCTCTGAAGCCATACTTTCCATCCCTGATATATTTTGTATCTAACTCTTAATAATGTTATCCTTCACTGGATTGATTACATGTCCTTCCAGTGTCTAGTGCTATTTTCAAAAATAATTTTAAACAAGCCCTGTTTACTTTTGGCTCTTATACTGCTCATATCTAACACACAAGATACAAATTCATAGTACAATTTTCAAATAGAGTGTTCAGAATAAATTCAACTGTAAAAGTGAAGACATGTTTTTAAAAAGTTTATTTCATAAATATTTAAATATATTTAAGTATTTAAATATATATTTATCACAGACCTTTTTTCCAGCTATATCTACAACCCCAAATGTGAAATAAATTAGATTGGCAAAAGAGATGGTTAGAATAAATAAATGGATATAAATAGACATATTGTGGTACTACTGAGTAAAAACTAATAATGACACAATTAGAGGAAATAGAAAATATTTGCTTCTAGTTTCAGAGAAGCACAGTTGTTCCCAGGAACACCTGGAAACAAGATCATGCAAAATAATTTTATCTACAGACCAAAGCCAGACACTGAGTTAATACCATAAAAGAATAACAACACCCAATTACCAGCATTGAAGTTCTGCTCATCTTTCAATACTTATGATTTTCAGAGACTTATCCAAAAGCATACAGGGTATAGAGCTCAATTAGAAATAGCAACAATTTATTGAAACAGAATAATCTTCAGGTAATGATTCTATATTAACCTTTTCTGAGTTTGAAAATTATAGATGTCCATATTGTCTATCGTATGAAAGATGATTTTGATTAGGAACATAACACAATGACTAAAACCAAGGAGAAAGAAGTCCAGGAAGTAGGACTAAAGCTTTCTGCTAGGAAAAGCAGATTAAGGACTGTAGGCAAAGTATATAACTAAATTTACAACTAAAAGTGTCTTGGTTTATGAAGAACAAAACTAATGTTCTGCATGTTCAGAGATATTTTGGGCACTACCAGCATTGTGGCTACAAATAATATGAAGATTCATGCCATTTCCTTCCTTAGGCTACTCTACAGCTGATGAGCTATACAAAATGAGCTGTAAAAAGTCTGGATATCTGTAGCCTCATGCTTATGTATCTTTCTGCTTTAGGTCAAAAATATTGACCTTAAAACCTCAGAATCTCTATGAATCACAGGTCTGTTATTCCATCTTTTATTTATCTACCATGCTTCAGATTCTGCTTAATCTATACAATACTTTCTTGCAACTTAAGTTCAAGGATTCTAACAGTGATTATTACAAAATTAAGCACCAGAGCTTAATATATTATTAAATAGATATGGAATAATTTTTAAACAAACAATTGGTTGATTGATTACATGCCAACAATTTGTTGTCAATTCTAAGCAGCTACATAGATTTTCACCATGACAATCTATCCCTAACCTAATATTTCAATGCAGAAGCAGTACAGGGTATCCCATAGTCCTTGTTCCTAAGTGACTGACGTTCCAGTCTAACAGCACTGAACAAAGAGGTAAGGGAGATGCTGTTAGGCAAAGTTCAAGGCATAGCATTGTAAGAAGCAGTAAACTCTTCATTAGGAAAGTATGGCTGGATTCAGTTCTGTAAAAATTCCTTGCTTGTTTAACAGAGATCCAGAAAACTGGGTGGGGGGTGGACAGTAGCACAAATAAAGCAAAAATAAGAAAAACCACCTTGTTCTGCCTCACAAAAGCTAAACATTCTTAAGCAACTCAGAATAACAACAGTGACTTTCTGCAACCAATGTGTAAATGTTTACATGAACTTAATTACATTTTCTATTTAAAAACGAATGTGTGATAATGTTTGAACGCTTACCAATAGTTTAATACAAATAGTCAGAAATTTGTAGAATATCATTTTTAAAACTGTATCGATGACTGAAATTATGTTACATATCATTTTAACCCAGATTTCAAGAACTTTAATGGAAGACTAGTATGGTTACCTTTTGACGCAATTCTTTTATGCATGGAAGATTTTCAATACCTTTTATGGCCATGTTTATGAAATTGAAAAAAGACAAGCTGATGGCTCAATGATGCTTAAAGCAAAAAAGCCTATTCAACTTCCCAATTCTATGGAATCATAGCAAAAAGTGAAATTAGCTTAAGCTATTGAAACATGGGCATTTAATATCTGAAAGTCTGCTTGCTAAAGGTTCCTTCCTGTGGGATGGTAAATGCATCCTACATTAAAAAGATCTTGGCTCTTAATATGTAGTAAACTCTTCAAGTAAACT